GACACCATTGGCACCAATATCGGTCAAATCGCCGTCTGGCAGCATGTCGAAATCCTTTGCCAGGGCGCAAGCAAAGATGACTTTTTGGTAGCGCTCTGGGTCGTCCGGTAGTCCAAAGAGAACGTTCGCTTTGATCGTAGCATTTTCGATCCAGGGCATCTGCGCAACATAGGCGATGGCCGAGTCGATAATCCAATTTGCCTTTGTCGCAAGGTGATCAAATCGGTCTATAATGGGAAGTGGAACGGGTACCTTGATCGTTCCGGAGAGAACATCACATTCACCTAGGATCGACGAGAGAAGCAGGCTCTTTCCAGAGCCAGTTCTGCCCGATACCACACTTAGACTTTTGGTCGGGAATTTCAAGGTCATGTCACGCAGAATGAAACGATCCTCCGAAGCTTCGATATCTTCCTCCTCTGCGGGCCATGCAACGGAGGCGTGTTCAAACGCGATATAATCAGCAGGGACAGTATTGACAATATTTTCGGAGGTAGCCAAAAATTTGTCGATACGGTCCGAACTTACCTTCGCCTCCAGACCCATCGATGTGAGCTCTGGGATGATAGCAAGCGACGCTTCGAGAGAACTGAAGATTGCCATAGCCGTGAAAGCGATAGAAGGTGACAAAGTACCGTTAAGGATGGCATATGTAGTCAACGAAACGGCAGATAAGCCGACAGGACCGAGAACCCAGATCGCAAGCAGGCCAATATCAGCTACAAAGGAAGCCCACAATGCGCCAAGTTCGGTCTCTCGAGTCTCCCGGACGCGGTTCTGCCATTGCTCCTCCAAGGCCGAGAATTTTATCTGCCGAATTCCCTGCAGCACTTCGGTAACGATCGCCAGTTTCTGGTCACGGAATTTCATCAGTCGGTCCTGGGCATTCGAATATTTCTTAGCTGCGTAAATATTCAGTGGTGTTACAAGAAGAGAGACTGAAAGACCGGCGAAGGCACTGGGCCAGCCGAGGATTTGGACCAGAAACGCGGCACCGATAATGATTCGGAAGATCGCCTGCGGGATAATGTAGTTGAAAGCGGCAAAGTCGGAAACACGTCGAGCATCCACGGCCACGTGGTTGATAATACTCTGGCGACTTTTCTTCAATGCATCCTCGTCATCATCGTCGGCCTCCCCGGATCCTTTGCTGGAACTATCGGATCCATCTGTCGTTTTGGACTTCTTTGTATATTTCACGTCCTTCCGACGCATGGCTTTGGCAAAAATGACTGCTGACAGCTCTGCGAAGATCGGAACTCCAAGTTTAGAGTAGACCACCCAGAACAGCCATGACTCGACGGTCGAGGCAAGAAACAACAGACCACCCAGAGCCAGGACCCAAACATACGATGCTCCGACATTCCAGTCCGGAGTACCGCGCAGTTCGAGTGTTTTCAAAATCTGAAATAGGGCGACCTGGGGTCCAAAGCTCAGAAAGCAGATCAGCAGACTAAGTATGGTCTGGGCGATCAGTGGCCCCAAATGCGCAAAGACAATCGCTAGCCACAATTTCCGGTTCTGCCGGGCAATTTCGAATTTCTCACGGAGAAAATCAGCCCGCTTCGATGCTGTAAGCTTGGGAATATCCTCGAGATCCATGGCCTTGTGCTCCACGGCGTAGTTTAGCAACCCATTGGCCCAGCTGAAAGTGAACCGACTGAGTAGGGAGACTGAAAGTTCCCGCTCAACCAGCTTATCTTCATGGTAAACATCTGGACGACGTGGTATCAGAACACAAAACACAGCGCGAAGAGCAGCGCTAGCAATTTGTGCCAATTGCAGCCTGACCCCAACTTGTCCATGGGGAAGTCCGAGTTGAGAGATTGCCAAAATACCCACTTCCATGCTCGGAACTACAGTGGCAATGATACTACCCCAGAAAGCGAAGTGGCCGAGAACATATCGGCTTGTCGGTCGGGGCTCGGTGAAGAAAGCAATAGCTTGAATGGTGAGCAGAGTCTAAAATAAACAAGAATTGGCCATTAGTTTGATTCAAATCGAATGGTTTTGTGTTATTTTGTGTTCTTGGTCGGGTTTTCTACATACCCATACTCCGAACTGCAGCCAGATCAATGGCGTGGAATTTGCAATGGTAAGCTTCAATGTCGCAAGAACAGCCAATGCGAGCGTCACCAGAAACCCGGCGATGGAGAACAGGGCGATGAGGACTCTTTGCCATTTATCAGAGAAAGCTTGGAGGGATTCCTCTGTCGCTTCTCCATCTTCGTCGCTGTAAACATCTTTGGCTAATTGGATGGGCTCGTAATCACGAGCTTTGAGGGAAATGCGGTGGGCAATACTCTTAATAGCAGGTATACTATCCAGAGCAACTAGCGACAAGGCTAGATAACTAGATGTCGCCAAGTATGCCATTTTTTTTTTTCGGACGCCAAAAAAAAAAAAAAAAGAAAGACAAAAAAAGACAAAAAAAAAAGGAGAGACAAAAGGAAATATCAAGGCGTTATCAGTGACTATAACGAATACGCTGTATGTTAGCGCGAGCTATCGTGACATTGAGCGGGGAACAAGAAGGGAATAGACCGATCTTAGACCGCCAGTGACTCAGAATACCAATACCTTTTCATAATACTCTATGAGTATTAACTGTCAGATCAATTTCCCCCTAGGGCTGTGCATTGAGTCACACGCACTATATTGTGCACTGCTCGTGTTCAATGACTGAACTTCTTAGTGGCTGCATATTCCTCTTGCAACAGGCTAACTCCGAACTCTCCGAGCCCCCACAAGGTTGGGGGTATTGCGTCTTCTAATGGTCATGTGCGGAATAGCATATCTATACTCACTAACCAGAGTTAGGACAATCATTAAACATTCAACTCGGATTCAAGGAGAATTCACCATTCCCCACTTGTATAGCTTGTATCCATCTAATATCCTCCTAATGCAGGACGGGCCTCCACCCGCGTCTCGGCACAAACTCTTCCACGGCTTCATCATTCAAGACATCACGCCCCAATCGTGCAGTGATAACGCTTCGCTCAGAATCTGGGCCGTGCACGTAGAACGGCTCGAATCCCTGTCCGAGTTTGGGAATCCACGTTTTTTTCCTGCCTTTTTCTTTCAACTCCCTTGGATTTACCGTCGGTTCAAATCCAGAGGATTCCCGGTCTAGACTAAGATACCACCGCCGTTGGTGGATCGAGCCGATCGTGTTGCTGGACCCCGGGTAGGCATTGTTTCTTTGGATTTCCATGTCGGCGGTGTAGGTATCGTCTGCATGTGCCTTAGTCGGGCTATTCTGAGGTGTTAGATCCACTCTCAAATTTTGTTTGTTTGGTGGCGGCGAAGGTGATCCGGAGTCCGAGGTAAACCGCGCTTGTGGCGCCCTTGGCCGAGATTGGCGACGCCGTTTGGGGCCTTGTCGGATTGGCCTCGCAAAATCGGTGGTTTTGTCCATCCGTAGAATAATAGTGTAGTCTTTTGGCAAACGGGTTCCATGTAGTCGGAGTCGGATTTTGCGCTTGGTGTTTCGGCGTTAGAGAACCCCTTTTTCTCCACGTTGTACAGGGATATACCTACATTCTGAAAAGCTTCTCGCAACTTCGCACTATCTGGGACTGGCTCCGATAAAACATGACTATCTACGGAGACCTCTGATCGAGAGTCGTCGGTCTCCGGGCCAGATGGGTCCATTTGGTAAGGTAGAATTTCATATTCTCCAGTATCCCAGATAATCAGGCTCCCCGTTTGGTGGGAAGCTGTTTCAATGAGATGATTCTGTAAAGGTGTAAGTAATCGATATCATACCATCTCATCCCAGATTATAAACCCACCCACAAACAATGGATCCGAGTTTCAGTTGCATTCCGGTTCACTCGTTGGCTATTCGGATCCCCAGGCATCCCATACATAACCGACCAACTCACAGAGCTGGTCTCCGAGAACTGGAGACGGAGGTCATAATGGGGTCCTGCGATGGGATGGTCATGTTGATGGATGACGAAATGGCGTCCTTCTGGTTGCTCGTTGCGTCTGTACAATTCCATCCATTCCTTGATAGGCAGATGCGGTAATGGATGTGTTGGAAGAGGGCGAACACATTCTTTGAGCTTTGCTGAAATTGTACTCAGGTGGTCGGTCACTTTAACCTGACCTGCTTCGATAGCAGCGAGGCTGGATAAAGTGTTTAGTTGTGATGCATTCAGTAGAGTAGCGTCTCCTTCTCCATCCTTGCCCCTTTTGGTGGATAATCTCTTTTGTGGTGGAGAGATAGGCGCATTTAAGCTTAAGAGATTTGGGCGCTGGTCATTTAGCGGAAGTTCGTTTCTTAGCTCATGCTCCGGGCTGGATTCTAGGCTGCATGCGCGTTTCATGATTGGGGCACCTGGGTTAACGTGTGTCGCAGCCGGGATCAAGCGAGAGTTACACGAATGACATGCATCATTGATATTATTAGATTCATGTACTACCTGCATGACATTTACAAACGGAGCTTGAGGTGATGTCCCCGGGATCGCAGCTTACTAACAAGCTTGACTTCCAAACTTGGAAGTTTTGGCAGAGCCAACGACGTGAAAATAATTAGGATGGAAAACGCCAATCAGTCACCGGCCAATTATATATCTATAGAATCAGAGGACTATGAGATCGATGGCAAATTTGACAGCTTCTCTACATCCGAAGTACTCGGAGGCTAGGGTGGTGGCTGACTTTCCCTTATATATAATCTCATCGGGTGGCTATTTTAGCCTCATTGTAAAATACAGCCTGGGTGGAAAAAAAAAAGTACCATCGGGAAGAAAGGATACAGTGACCTCCGCCTAAATATTTTACGCCAAAAGCAAAAATGAGCTGGAGTCAGCCGTTATACAACCGTACTTCCGCTGCTTGTCCGCGGAATGGAGTAGAGACAGATGCACTATCGGAAGGGCATGTGAGATGAACTAAAACCACTACCAACAAAGTTATACCATAGTGCTCGCTCCTGTGCCGATAAAACATATGAGACTAACATCCGACTTCTCCCTCAAGTAACCTTAATTGTGAGAATTGATAATGGGGTTAACAGCCACACTCTGCGGATTGTGGAAGACATCTTTCGTATCAACAAGAGTCTTGATACTTTGGAGCCGCCCAAGATTCGATCCCCAGTAGGCCACCTGACCATTTTCAAGATAAGGATCAACATATCCCGGATAGGAACGTAAAGGCCCAGGTGGTCGATGTTGAATCACAACTTGATGCAAGCGATCGAGGAACCTCCTGGGAATGAATGCAGGAGGCTCAAAGCCGACAACAGCATAGGATTGCATCCACATGACAGCGTCACGGTGCACATAGGCCGTGGCATTCATAGGAACATCGTTGGTTGCGCCACCTTCCAAGTCAAAAATAACCCACCAGTTCTCACTGCCTTTCGGCGCCGTGTCGAGGTACGTGAATAAGGCGACTAGCCCCTGCTCAGTGAATAATTCGTCGACTGTGAATGACAAAGACTTGGAGTAGAACGAAGTGAGCAAAGCTCCACCGATTGAGACCAGGTAATTCTCAGCCGCGTGGGCTAGTAAGGCTAGCCAGTTCGTGATGTATGCCACATTGCCCTTGTTGTGGATTGGGAGGCTGTTTTCCTGCTCAAATTCTTCAAACTCCTCTCTGGTTCCGAAGAAGCTGCCCGTGATCATAATACCCTCCTGGAAGATTGTGAGCTCGGTGGAATAATCCCGCGTAATATTAGGCTTTGCAATAATGGACTGCCAAGCTTGGAAGAGTTTAACTTTGTCAAGTACATCTCCTTGACTGAAAGTATACGTATATTGCACAGCGCCCTTGGGAATTTCCTGCGTGCGGACTTTGAACTCAGTGACGATACCAAAGCTGGCGGCCGCACCCTTGATAGCCCAGAAAATGTCCTGGTTCTGGGTATCCGACGCTGTCACAATGCTGGAATTGGCCAGGACTACTTCAGCCTCCAGCACATGATCCAACGCAGTTCCCCATTGTCGTGACATGAGACCGAGACCACCAATGGTGAAATGACCACCAACTCCGACTTGTGGACAAGATCCATGTGACATCGCTCTACCACCTGCGTTCAGAAGGCGGTCTTGGAGATCACCCAGGTTTGTACCGGCCCCAATTGTAGCGATATGGGTGTGCGGATCCATGGAGAAGTTCTGGAAACCTTTTAGGTCGACGACAACGTGACCATCGGCTCCTCCCAGACCTACCATAGTGCAGTTGGTTTAGCAAAGTTACATAATGATTTGGATATAGAATGTACTTTCATACCATAGTTGCCATAGCTGTGACCTCCACTGTAAGCTTGCACCCGGTAGTTTCTTTCAACGGCACAACGCACAATTTCAGCAACCTGGCTCGTAGTATTCGGATAGGTGATTACCGCGGGATGGACAGGAATGGCCAGGTTATAGGATGGCAAGGTCCGGAATTCATATGAAAGATCTCCCCGAAAGGTCGCCATAGTAGGGTTTCCTCCCACGGCAGCCATGAAGCACTCACGGCCGGCGATGCTGGATGTGTTTCCCATTTTAGATGAGAATGAAAATTGAAGACTACTCCCAAGATGGTCAGGTAAAGCGGATGCAAGGGAGAAGATCTGTAATGGCCGGTGGGACATATAGAAGGGGTGGGATCGCGACTGCTTCACGAGACGGAGAACCGCGGCCAAGTTTTCTGCTCACTCCGACGTCTCATTTTCTCGGTGTGACAGTTGTTACATATGCCACGGTTGTCACATCCTTTGCTAGTACTCAGGGGGTCTTCTGATTATTTGAGGATCTTCGTCTAGACATAGTTACTCGACTTGGCTGTCATGCTACTGCATGAAGGGACTCTGGAGTAACACGGCGAATTAATACATCGGAGCGCTTGAGATGACGAAATTGAGAGCAAATGTTCGAATATAATAGTCAACCAATCAGTTCATAATGGCCCAGGTGAATACCGAGAGATGCCGAAAGAAACTGCTCGGGGACCACTATAACTATAACGGCGACGTGAATGGTCCCCGATCCGGAAATTCCTTGTCATCCAATATGGAAACCCTAATTCGACTCCTTTGTTTCTTTACTTCTTTGCTTCCTTTTTTTTCAAACATCGAACACGAGAGAGTCGCCGGTTATTGTTTTTTTCCCAACTTCCTTGGCATTTTATACCCCATACCATCCATCCCCAGACTGCACTTCCCGCAATGACATCAGGAAGAAAACCTTAATACCAAAGACAATCGCCAGAGCATCACCATCATGTTCACCCCAATTCATACCACGCTGGGCGCGCTATTACTATTCCACGGCTCATCCGGCCTACTCATACACAACGGCGCCATATTCGGTATATCCTCTCTCCTATCCGGGTGCGCTTTCAACCCGAGTCGTGACAATGTGCCCATCATCGCGGGTTTAGTATCCAGTATTGTACCGGTGTACTTGCTGGCACCATCACTGATCCCGGACTATTCTGCGCCGCCACATTCATGGGCTTCTGCTGCAGCAACGTTGGGAGTGGGCTTCCTATTAGGGTGGGGAACCAAGGTGAGGAGTATCGGTTATAATTGGCGAACGAGGAACAGGTTGACTAAGTGAAGTAGAACGGTCGAGGCTGTACCTCGGGACATATGCTGTGTGGCATTTCGCGTCTCTCACCCCGCTCGCTGATTGCAACCGCCATCTTCTTCACAACTGCATTGCTCACGGCGAACTTTGTTGAGGGCGGATCTAATATCCCGTCTTGCGGTACGACCCCGTGCTATACACCAATGTATCCATCTGGGCCGGAGTTCGGCTTCATGGCTGGTGCAGTGCTGCTGGCGGCTGTCATGAACTTCATGGTTGTCCCGCAGAAGGTCCATCGGTCGGAGGAATCTAGGGTTGTCTATTCTTATGTGACAGGGTTGGAGTTTGGTCTGGGCCTTTTGATATCTGGAATGGCGGATCCAGCCAAGGTGCTCGGGTTCTTTGCCTTCTTGACTGAGCCATCCCGGTTTGATCCATCGCTGGCGCTGATAATTCTGTTTGGAATTGGACCGTCGCTGTTCACTTTCCTGGCTCAGAAACCAGGCCAAGCGGTTGAAAAGGGAAAGCCTATTGCGAAGCCTACCCTTGCCGAGAACTGGCGACTCCCAACGGCCACGGTGAGCGACATAGATTGGCGCTTTGTTGCGGGTGCTGCGACGTTTGGACTAGCCTGGGGACTGAGAGGGGTCTGCCCGGGGCCTGCAATTTTGCGAACAGTCCTACAGCCGACTTGGGGACTGATCACGATGGGCGGTTACATGCTGGGCAACCTCATTTAAAGGGAATGGGATATGGAAATTATAGACATTTAATTCTTCATTAGCTTCGTTGAACTTTGGCGTCTTTTCGGGGGAATAGAGTCGAAATCGGTGCGTGATTATGCAAGAAAAGAAAAGAAAAGAAAAGATGGAAGTCCGAAGATCTCAGGAGCTGCGTCCGAGACCAGATTAGCAATGCCACAGAATATGTACATAGTCGGTTGAACTGAGAATAGATGCCATAGGCCCGCGAATAAATGCATTGGGTATATAACAGGGAAAAAGACTAGACAGGGGACTGAAAATGTAGAGAGGTGAGTAAACGGAAGAATGGCTTGCTTACAACTCAGTCTTCCTGTCCATGCGGAGCGCTTCTAATTCAGCAGATTTGTCGTTACTGCGTGGACTGGGAGTAGATTGATGGTCAAAGTAGCCTTCCAACTCCATCCACTCCGCAACAAAGGCAGTAACTAGCATGCTCCAGTCCTCGACGGTATCCAAATCTAAATGTTCACCGTCATCGTCGAGTGTATGCCAAACAGGAGGGAATCCCTTGAAGGGGGCAAAATCAATGAGATGCAGGATCTCAACCCCCTTCGCGAGGAAAGGAAGGTGATCATCCTGGATGCCACCCATAGGCGACAGATTGTGTCCGTCCTTTTCGGTATCAACGAACCATTGATTAGCCGAGGCAGACTTGAACTGCTTCAATGACTTGAACCGTTTTTCAAGAGCGCCCAAGCTTTGATAAGCCCAGTGTGTGGTCTCGTAATAAGATTGAACTGTCGGGGATTTCGAGCCCAGCAGATCCAAAAGGACAAACAAAGATATCGATGACAAGGGACCCTTGAATTCTGACATCGCGGGGTAGACTTGGTCATCCCAATGTGTAGCCAGAGCACGAGCTCCATAGAGGGAATCGGTCTCAGTCCAGTCCTTAAAGGCCTCTTCGCCATCTAAAAATATAACCTGGAGACCCCGCTCTTCTTCGAGGTAGGTATGTAGTCCTTGCTCCTGCAGCGCGGACCATTTCTTCTCTAGCGCGGCGTCGATGCTGCGCATGGCATGCATAATCATCGCACATGGTGCAGCACTGTCGATGCCTCCGATGAAGCCTTCCGGTTCTATCTTGCTGTCATAATGGGCGACAAGAGTGAGCCGGCCAACGTCGCCAACCGAGGCCCAAGAAGGATCGCGAGTAGCGATGAAGTTTCGGAAAGGTACCTCCTTCCCCTTGGATAGTGGTGTTTTGGCTGTGGAGTTCTGAACCTCAATAGTCCATCTGGGCAATGTGTTTCGAAAAAAGTCGGCAAAGTGATTGAGCACCGCGGTGGAACCGGGGGTGCCAGGGACGCGGGTCCTTAGTATAGGTGACAACAGAGCGCCATTGTGAATGTCGAAGTCGTTATTGGGCCGCAGGAGTCCGGTCAATGTCTTATCTGATATTTCCTCGTATGCTTCTACACATGCTAGAAGCATTACAAGAAGGCATAGCCAAAGTGACACAATGCCAGGTGGCATGCGATAAGCCGGAGACATGGCGTTAAAGGAAAGCTCGCGCTAACGGGTCACGACCTGCATCAAAGCAACGATAAGATGAATTCAAGCCTAATTTAGCTAGGTAATCAACGATATTATATGGTATGATATCAAAGGAGAATGTGTCAAAAACCTGGCAAGGGTCAGCACATCCAGCAATCTAAACAGAGCGGAAGCCAAGGCGGTCACCTTTTTTGCCGCGCGATCGGCGTCGACGCCGATTTACTGGGGAGATCAATCAACATCCAAATCCCAAGCCAACTACATTACACACGCACAATGCGACTACAGATTTTACTTCACCCTCAATTACGCACAACTCTACCAGAATGTGCCCAGCGCAGTCTTCGTAGGAACGTCTGGGTTCGCTTCAAGTCGCAGATCCCTCGGCCGTCGCAGAAGCATCTTTCACCATTACCAAAATCGAAGGAAACCCCCCCAGCTACACGTTCTCCAGTCACAAGAAACCTCACACCACCAAAGACAACCACTAGGACAGGTAATATGAACCCTCCCCACTGCTATTAAGCGCATTTGCTGAGCTATAGTTGCAGGGCCACCAGAACGAATCTTGGTCTATTATGGAGGGACGGGCAGAGCTATCTTTCTAGGGACGCTGCGAATCACCACAGTGCTTCTATTTGGTGCAGCATGTCTAATCGTTGCGCCAGCATGCTCCGTGGCTGATGATTACCCCTGGTACAGCACACCTGCGGGTAAGCCAACTTGGACATTACACCGCCTGAGCGTTTATGCTAATTTTGCTTTAGTGATTGCTGCTGGCGCCCTCCCAATGCTATTCGTCTCGTATACTGCTGCCCCATATGTGAACTTTATTCATTTGGCACTGCCTGCCTTCGCGAGGAAGTCGCGGGAAGCCGCTGTCCAGTACGCAAAAGACCTGCCTCCAACGGCAGTGCTATATCTCACCAGCATGCGATTCAATACCATTCCCCGACAAACGACTGTCCGTCTTGGAGATCTCGTTCCCTTCAAAGACGCGTTGCGGCCCGTCACATTCCAGAATCTGAATCCGTCACCGCAACGATGGTGGCAGGGAAGAGCTCCCACCCAGTTCTATACTGGAACCCACAGCAAACCGGGGAGACAGACATCGGCTTTCTTCCCTGAATTGTGGAATGGAATTTATCAGCAGATTCAAAAGGCCAAGTCACAGCCTCATTGATCTCTGCAATTTTATGGCTGGTTCCATTGATGGTCTGGCGCCCAATTCTCTCAGTGATTTATCGACGGAGCCTAATCTCAGTCACTTTAATCGAAGGTAGCTATGAATTAATAACTGGATCTGTCATGTGTATTTCATATCCATTTACCCCAGGCTCTTGGGCCTTCGTCACAGTAAACAATATGAGGTCCCAGCCGCAATTAACTTGTATGGATTGTGTTAACGCAAAGAATTCAGTTGCTACCAATTTGTTTTCTTATGCTCCAGGGTGAAATAAAGCCTGTTCATATGGCCTCAGATCTCACTTAGCTCTCATCTTGGGCATATCTGAACCAAAGACTCCCCCAGGGACCATATACTCTCTTACTATTAACCGTGATGGGACGTTTGAATGCAATTAAATACCTGTCAGTCGTAATGTGGCCGAAGTTCCTTTCCGACATCCAGATTGACATCCTACGCTGAGAGATTCACTTCAACGCGCGTTCTGGAAAACAGTTTAACCCGTTTCAGATCGACGCCGCTTGCTATTTCATTTACTATTTCCACCTGCCGTGGAATCTCCTTCTTCTTCCTCGTACATCCGTTACTTGAAGTTCAAAATCAGTTTGAAACTCGACCTTAACCACCAAATTTCTATCCAATCCCACCAACCTGATCCGAAATGTCTTCTCCGGCGAAGCCGACCCTGTTTCCCGGCATTTCCGCCACTGAGACCAGGCTTTTGGTCCTGGCCAATGTCTGCCTGAAGAATGATAAGGTATGTTATCCGGTCCCAAGTTCTCACAGTGTAATTACGTTGCTAAAATATGGGACCATAAAGATCGACTACGACAAGCTTGCTTCGAATGCTGGCCTCAAGGCCTCGTCTGCTCATACGCTCTTTCGCAATGCGAAGCGCAAGCTAGACAAGCTGTACGCCGATGACAATGCTAATGCGGATGGTGCCAGTGCCACCATGTCGCCCGAGGATACTTCTTCCAAGCGCGGAAAGGCCAATACGAAGGCGCCTCGCACTCTCAAGTCTCCCAAGACCCCCAAGTCGGCCAAGGCCACCAAGGACGATAAGGCCGCTATTAAGTCCGAGGGAACCGACGACCAGGATGTCTCCGTCAAGCTCGAGTTTAGTCCTCTCTCTGCTGATTTCGATTTCGCCGCCAACCTCGCTGAGGATACTACCCGCAAGGCTGCTGTTGCCGCCGCTGAGCCTGTCACTGAAACCGCTGCTGCTGAGTCTCTCACTGAGCCCGCCACTACCGCTGATGCAATCAAGCTTCAGACCGAGAAAGAGCAGGCAAACGTCAAGGCCGATGAGGACATCAACGCCGAGCTTGAACTGGCTGTGAACCTGCAACTTCCTGAGTCCCCACTGTCCGCTGACGACGACGGCGCCTACAAGCAGGAAAAGGCCCAGGAGAACGACCAGCACAAGAATTAATTCTCAGCTTATGAACACTCAGGCACGAGGTAGAACGGATTTGAGAACTCGTACTTTTTACCAGATTTTCACATGGTTATGAGAAGAATATGGGGATGCTATCAAGGGGAATTGTGAATGCTCTTAATAACAAAAAAAAAAAAAGTATCTACTGGGTTTCATCTCAAACCAGTGATAAAGCATTCAAATGAAAAACAATGGATATTGTGTTTGCTGCTCTAACTACGTATCTAACATTTTAAGTATATCTGGGATAACATGCATATGCAGTCAACCGTTGACCCGCGGAGGGCCCCTGAATGTTGCGTCACTTGGACGTTTCTTGGACGTTATTTGGACATTAATCGGACGTCAGTTAGATATTACTTAGGTTAGACGTTCGTAAGGGTCGTAGCATATCTGAGTAGAGTCTAAACAAGCTATAATACAGGTCTTGTGTGGTAGGAGAGTGGCTGTTGTGTACCGCTAGGTTTAAAACGTGTATCATACATAGTTCGGGTTGTGACTGACTATCTGATTGGACGTGACTTTAACGTTATTTGGATGTTATGTAGGCACTTGGCTTAGACGTTACTTAAGCGTTAGTTAGGTTGGACATTAGTTGTATATACTAGCGGGTTAAGTATACAGCATGGGGCTACCTATGATCCTACAAACGGCCGGCTGCAAAGGGGTTCCTGAGGTGTCGATTTATTGATATCAGTATCTAACCCTACATACAAGGATGTACCTACCGAAGCTAGCCGATTACAGGCCACCCCAACCCACGATATGCATTGAATTAAGACTCTATTTCGCATCTAAATACTAATAATCAAATACGAATGAAGGTAGGATGTTACGTAGTATCGAGGATATATTAAGAATTTTGATGCTCTGGAGGTAACTTGGAAGTAAGACATGATAATTTCGTATGTGTTAGCCAGGAATACGCTCAGAACCTTACAGAAGGTGTATCGCTTTATAGTACCTGTAAACTGCTTTATGGAGGACCGGCAATTGCTTCCCTATAGACAGACCGGGAACAAGGTCAACAGAGGCTGGGATCTTATACGATCTTTGGAGTGAGTAGGTCGAATTAAGTACAATTTGTAGAGGGAACACAGGCTACAGAGCAAATAGTCCCTCGTACCTCCTGTAGGCTGATATAAAGTAATACTTGTGGGTGACTGACGAATGGAACAAACTGCTTGTACTAGATATTGGCTCTAGATTTCATGGAAAGCAGTTTTCTAAGCGCTACAGATTAGATACGACAAGACTCACTACGGCGAGATTCGCCCACTGGGGGATTAACCCATTTAGAAGTATAGAATCGATTGAGAGGACAGGAAATGGGCTTATCTGATGCCAACGAGCTAGAAGTGTTGGTTTTGTCAACATGATGCATTGTGGTGGCTGTTTGGAACGTGAATTGTTCATGTGCATCGGTTCCCAAGTAGGATGCTATTTATACACTGACTTCTCAGGTCCCCTTCCTCGATTCCTTCCCCATCAACAGTCATCTGCCTTTCTGAATTTAATATCTACAAGACTCGCTTCTACAATCTCCTATTCAGCCTTCTATCACTATCTAACATCACAAACAACAACCATGTCTCACTTACAGAAACAAGAGAAGACCTCTGACCCGGCGAAGTCCGTAGGACTCACTCCAAGCCAGACAGAGCACCTTCTGATGGGATATCTATGCATGGAAAAGCCCAAGGTAAGTGGAAGAGTGTGTTTGTTAATCTCCGCGATATTTGAGCTCATGGCGAGTCTTCTTGGCAGGTTGACTGGAAGAAGCTTGGGGAGCTTTGCAACGTTACGCCTTCCTCTGCTAGAACTGTCTTCACCAAGGGTCGACGATGCCTTGAGAGATGGGAGGAGAACAGGGGCGCCCGCGCGGTTATCAAGGAAGCTGAGGAACCCGAGGAACTCGAAGAAGTTGAAGAAGCCGAGGAGCATGAGGGCGATAATGAGAATTCTGATGGGGCTGTGGAGGCTGCACACGCTGAGGATACTGAGCATTAGGATGGAATGAGATCTTTCAGTGGTTAGATCAATTCCACTGGTCAACTTTGCAGATTTAACCTAGGATTGATGTTCTAAGGACCCTACATGTTGTGTTGAAGCTCAATCATCAGGTACGGCTTCATTTGCAGTGCATCACACAGAATCTGAAGATCCATGATTCAAACGATAAAAGAAATTCTAATATTAGGCTAGCTCAAGGGACATAATGTAGATGGTAGTCTTCGAGTCCCATACAACAGTTTCTTATTTCCACAAAGTGCACGTAACTTTGTTTGCTCTTCACACAACAGATCGTGCTCTGTAACATCATTTACTACAACCCATATCCAGTGCCTTTGCACACCCCAATAAACCCACACTTCATCAAAAAGAACGAGCCCATCCATTGACAAACACACTGTCACATAGGATATCAACTGACACGATGTCGACCACCCCATCTCCCAAAAAGTCTGGGATTTTGGGTGATTTCACAGCCGGTGAAATAAAGCTCATTATGGCCAGTGTCCTGTGCATGGGTGGAAAAGTACGCACACTCTCTGTACCAGCCTCCGAACCATGACTCAAACTGACCGTGTCTACAATTTAGCTTGATACCGAAAAACTCGGAAAGCTGAGCAATATGAAGAGAAAATCAGCAGGCAGCCGGTTTCCCTCCATTAAGCGCAAGCTGGAAAAGATGTTTGAGGATCAGCTGGACAACCTAGACGACGACCAGACCAACTCGAATGCCAAGGGAAAGTCTCCAGCCAACAGCCGCGCGAAGAAGCGTCGGGACAAAGCTGTTGACCCGCAGCTTGAGCCCAAACATGACATCAAGACCGAGGCTGAATCTGAAGAGGATACCAAGGATACTGTGAAAGTTGAGATTGTGGTTGAATCGGGAGAGAGCACCGACAGTCTGGTGAAGGTCAAGGCCGATACCGATGCCCATATCAAAATCAAGCCGGAGCCTATTGACTAAGTGGTCTTGTCGTCAATGCAGTTTCTCCTGGACTTTCTATGGGATCTGAGATAACTAAGAAATTGATTTGACCGGAGGTACATGACAGAAAGAGTGTTTATCAAGTGTACCTAGTTCGCCCTCTCATATGGAATGGCCACGGATGTTTGCCCAACAATGAAAACCCATTGCACAACTTGATATAGTCACCGGCAAATGTAAATGTGCGTAGACGTTGTCTAGTGTGAACTTGTGGTATAAATTGCCCTTGCTTTCCCTTTATCCTCCATATTCCTTCTACACACTCCCTTCTTCTGTATTTCCCGGTTTGGTTCTTGTTCGTCCAGTTAACAAGGAATAAGGCTATCATGAACACATCATGTTTTATCACTCTAGAGTCCTGAACCCTGCATGGACGGGTCTGTCAGGGTGTGATGTCAAGTTCCTAGCTCTTGCAGACTTTTGCTATGCCACACAGGTTGTTACCTACATACTCTGAATGTTAACTTGTACCTGCTAAACAGCCTTCAGAAAATTGACAGCAATAAACTGGCACGTCTTGCAAGTGTAAAACCCGCATGTGCTCGAAATAGATTCAGAAACGACAAGCGAAACCTACTCAGGTTATGTGCTGCTAATTCACTGATCATGGCGACTCTAGCACAACAGCCATTCCCTGATGTTCTCAAAACGGCCCTCGATGACCAACCAAAAAATCTCCCAAAACACAAGAAATTGCCCAACGAGTCTGATGGAAGAAGCACAGCGGAGTCTTCTGAGTCAGAGATCGACGAAGCTCGATCAAAGGACCGTCGCCAGAACGCTAAGCGCAAAGACTATACCAAACGCAAGGGAGTAGGCAAGCGCATGTCTCTGGACAGCCCAAGTGAGAATATCGAGGACAGCGAGGTCGAAGGCGACGAGTCTTCTCTGGTGAACTTCAACCCTGCAAGCAAGACCCAACGCCGGAACTAGAAACAAAAAGCTACGAAACGCAACAGACACAACAAGCACTCTCCAAGTCATGGAGTGAGAAGGGAAGAGACAGTCCTTTATATGCAGGCATCAAGCCCGTACCCTCCCGCGCAAGCTACCAGAACATCGAGCGCAACCGGGTGTGAAGCGTGGCAGAAACCAATACGCGGACCAGGATGACTCCAAAGAAGAAAGTGCCGATGAGTGACCCGGCGAAGACATGAGCGCTGCTTCTTCCCGCACAAGCCATGGCAGAGCTAAGTGCAAGCGACTTGGAGACCTCGGTGAACTGGCTGATACTTCGTGCAACGATAGTGACATGGAGGAAGTCGAACGCCGACCTGCTCGAGCATATACCAAGTCCGCTTCGGTCAAGGCCAGATCCCAGACTGTGAATCACAAGGAGCTTGATGAGATCAATGAACTCGCTGAGTCACCGGATAAAGATGTCGTTGGGGGAGCTATGAATGGTCTTCCTCTAGAAGGGGATGCACCAAAGATAAGTGGCCGCACCGCGAAGACCACGAAAGAAAAGCATGATGAAAGGGCTGACTCCATGCATGAGAACGAGAAACCCGAGGAGCTCGACGAAACTCATGTCTGATGTTGATTGATTGGAGGTATCGTGTTTGCTAGAAGAAGAAGAAGAGGGAATATACATGCAGGTATGGATTATGATCAAATTGCTGGGTTGTTCGACTGCGTGTTGGTGGCAATGGTTCTGTTTTGTTGTGTTTTGTTCAGCTGGCAGATTCGAAGGACAAGAAAGAAAAGAAATCTGAGAAACCAAAACCGAAGAAGCAATGGCATTGGTCACCGAGTTTGATAGTTGGATTCAATGATGGATTTTAGGTTGATTTGAAATGAAAAACATGTTTTGCTAAGGAGATGAATACATAGTAATAGGAATAGGAGACTAGATAACCGAACAGATCCAAAGACGCCCTTTGAACCAAGATATAAAATAAAAAAAACAGAATGAAATCTGACACGAACGGCCAGTTGAAATGAAAGACACAAAGATCATAGACCCACATTATGATGAACGGAAAAAAGAACGAAATACCACCGAACAGATATCTCAAACACTAAAGCGCCTCAATTGCCTTCATCAAGACATCCAAGCCACGATCCGAGACATCGCCTGAATTCGAGTCTTCCTCTGTGACAGTGTCACGCAAGGCCCAGGCCACATCACTCCACCAGCCCAGACCGACGTAGCCACCGCCCTTACGACGCTCCAGACTCTCCTTAAGCCTGCTAGTGTGCTCCCACTGTTTGGCAGCATTCTCCGCACATTCGATGACCTTATTTGGAATCCCGCACATGGATGCGCAATGCATACCGAAACTACCTTCTGCGACACCCTTCTCAAGCTTGTACAGGAATGTGATACGGCGCTCGACGTCGTCGACATGGATAGCCATGCGCTTGGGTGCGATCTCGGGATGGTTTTCGAACTCCGCAGCAAGCGAGTGGTAGTGGGTGGCAAAGAAGCCCAAGGCTCCGATATGGGTAGCGATGTGATGAAGCACGGCTTGGGCCACGGCGACACCGTCGTAAGAGCTAGTTCCACGGCCGAGTTCGTCAAGAATAACGAGTGAGCGTGGGGTAGCCTCGGAAAGAATCTTCTTTGTCTCGGACAGCTCCACGAAGAATGTTGACTGGGCGGCGAAGATGTTGTCGTTTGCACCGAGTCGAGACATGATACGGTCGACTGGGGTCAGTCGGGCTGACTGGCAGGGAAGGTAGCAACCGATTTGGGCCATGATCACAGCAACACAGGTCTATACTTGTTAGTAAAATGATTAAAGCAAAGGGGAGGAGCAGGTGAACACACCATTCGGAGAACTGTGGACTTTCCGGCAGCATTAGCACCGGTCAGCAAGTCAATGCTAGCATGTTTGCCACCAAGCTGGATATCATTGGGAATAAAGTCCTCGACAGATGAAAGAAGACAAGGGTGACGGAGCTCTTCAAACTCCAAGACACTTCGCTCATCCTCCACAAACACAGGTCGGCAACTCGGATGGCCGATGGCACTAGAAGCCTTAGCCAGACTGATTAGGCAGTCGAGTTGCGATACAATTCTAACAGCCGCCAGCCATGTGCTGTAATGCTCATCGAACCGGGCGTGGAAGCGTCCAGCAACTTCCTTAACGATCTGACTATGAGTTTCTTGGGCCTCTTGCAACTTGCGAATGAGGCTACGAAGCTCGGGGAAGTAGTACCGCTTGACCTGCTTGGTCGCAGACATCTGGTTCCAATCCTTTGGAATGTTTTTCACCTTGATTGGAACCTCGAGTTGGTAGATTTCCTTGCCGTTATCCCGGTAGCAGATAGCAGACGACCCCAAATCCCGGCGAGCTTTCTTCAGCATGGTGTCGAGGTCCCGGTGGAGTTGCTCAATGATCTCTTGGGAGTTATCGAAGTCTTCTTCGACACCGGACTCTGGAACAAGAATTCCACTCTCCTTAGCCTTTGGACGATCGAATGCGGTCTTCCAGTATCCCAGCAGAGAGGCAAGATCAGGCATCGCGGTTGTCAATTGACCAATAATGCTATCGCCTGAGCCGGTGTCACTTTCTTTGAGCAGACCCATGATATAATCGATCTGTTCGAATCCTTCCAAGACACGTACAAAGTCTTGAGCTTTGCAGTTGCCAGCGTGGATACGAGAAATCAGTCGTTCGAGATCCGGCATCTTTGTCAACTGGGAGGAAAACTGGTCCCGGGCAGTGGGATCGGCGTTGAGTGAATCAACTGCATCCAATCTTGCGTTGATTTTCTTTGAATCGATTAATGGGTGGCATACCCACTGCTTGAACATGCGCTTGCCGAAGGGCGTGATGCATCGGTTGAGCAACTGGAATAGAGTGCCCTCAGACCCGCCATCGAAAGAATTGGCGAAGATCTCCATGTTGATCAGGGTTTGGCCATCCAGTACAAGACTTGTAGCCTTCTTGATAGGATCGTACCACGTAAAGTTGCCAATGGTGATCAAGTCCCGCTCAATCTTCAGCATTCGCAGATATTGAACCAAAGCACCGAATGCACACATCAGTAACTCTTTCTCGCGCGCTTGACGCAGGGTCTCAGGCCAGGCCGTGAGATTGTCATCGTCCACCGAGACGAAGTACTCGCTTGCCTCGAGCTCGCGAATTGTGATATCGGATTCCCAAAACTCCTTACCAGGCTTCATGAAATTCCAGATAGTGGTGGGTGCGGTGTTATTTTTTAGAATGCGCATGGCCTTTTGTGAAACGCAAGATTTCTCCAGCAGCAACTCCCGAGGACGGGTCTGCGCGACAAAAGTCTCGAATTTGGTCATGTCAACATCGTCCACAAACTCAGACAAGAAGAATTGACCTGTAGCAGTGTCGACAAAGGCAATGCCGAACGCGGGATGCTCGTCCACAATCGCTTCCTTTATCGCAACACAGTATGTGGACATATCATCCTGAAGCATGGAGCCCTCGACCAGTGTACCCGCAGTAAGGACACATGCAAGCTCTCGCTTGATGATTTTGTCTTCTTTGGTGGGCTTCTTGCCCTCTCTCTCACGCATTTCTTTACCCAGTGCGGATTCGGATTGGTCCACACGGGCAATCTTGAAGCCCTTGGCCACAAATTGGTTCGCCCAGTGATCTAAGCTCATCTCAGGAACACCAACCATGCGCATGTTCACTCTGTCCGTGAGCTTGAGATCGAAAAGTTGGTGACCAATGGTGGCATCGTTCTCATAGAGCTCATAGAACTTGCCCTTCTTGAAGAAAACCACAGTATCCCAGAATTTCTGCTTGATTTCCCAGTATTGCTTCTCGAAAGGCGAGAATCTGGACCATGCGAGCGGAGGGATGTAGATAGTTCGGGGATCGTAGTCAGGGTGGCCTTTGGGGTTGCCATCTATGTCCTTGAGATTAGCAAGCCACGAATAGCGCTGCTCAGGCTCCTTGATGTGGGCCTTTTCTTTTTTCGCGCTGGACGGTGTCTTGGAAGACGCCACGGCAGCTCTTTCTTTCCGAGGTTCTGTGTTCTCCGGATCAAACGCCCATTTCTTCGCGGTTCCAGCTGAACCTTCTCCCTCTGGGATATCGAGATCGATGTCATCGACGGGTGGAGGAGGAGCAGGGACGGACGAAGACTTGGAAGTAGGCTTGCGTGCCGATTGTGTGGATGGTCGTTTCCGCTTGTTGGAAGATGCGGCTATCTCTTCATCGGAGTCATCTGCAACGACAAAATCGTCCATTTCTATATCCGGGTTAGTCGTGTGCCAGCAAAATCAACTAGCAACAGAAATCCATACCATCATCCGAGTATCCTCCATCTCCTGCCTCATTGAACTCATCTTCACTTTCCGGCTCAGTTCGTCTTCTCTTAGCTTCACGGCCGGAGACACGGTCCTTGCGGTTAGGGCGGAAGATAACCTCGTCGTCGTCCTCGCCCTCGGAGTCAGACTCCTTGTAGCTGACCTTCTTTTTTCCCTGGTCAAACAAGTCAGCGGAATAGATCAATTGAGCAATAAAGTATTACACGTACCCGACGCGAAGGCGACATCGTGGAATCCTGCTGCGCCTCTTTGGTGGTCTAAGGAGAGAAGAGTTCAGTCAGAGTGAAGGAACAAACAAACAGGAGATATCAGATTAATATACCTTTAAAACACTGCCATTATCCTCTTCCTCCTCCGGCAATGGAAGATCGCTGCTTGGTACAGGACTCAAATCCTGCGCAAAGCTTGAGAAGCTTCGCTTTTGTTCCTTCGGTGTGGGCTTGACAGCGCTCTCACTATGCTTCTCGGAGGCTCTCTGTGCGGGGGACGAGGCGGGTTCTCGCGTCCGATTATTTGATGGAGTCGCTGGCGAGGACTTTTGGAAGAAACCAAGAATTGACTTCTGGCTTCGCATGTTCTGGGTGCTGGGAGTTGTGCGCTTGAGCGCGGGGGATGACGCGGCGGACGGAGATGAGGCCGATGGTTTGGCCATATTTTTTTTATAGAATAAAAGCAATTCAGACTAAATGGCAATATACTCTCAACTCAACATGGTGATTAGGGGAGTTGTAAGGGAATCGGGGACAGGGTGGAGATAAGGCGCGGGTCGCGTCGACGCGTAAAGCACTCTCTCCGAGACTCGACCTATCAACTGATCGACACACCCCCGACGTTGTCTTTCCTCGCTACGGGGTACTTATTACTTGGGTTTTATTTGTCTTGAGGGGTGACGACATAATATTTATACTATTGTACAGATTGGATATTGTAGAATTACAGATCTAGTGGACATGCACTTTAGTCCGACTTAGTCGGCTGTGTCGGCTCGGTGGACTCAATCTCTTCGGTCTCCCACCCAGGAGCCGTCAGCCCTTGTGCGCGGTATTCTTCATCGGTCACAATGTGAACGGCCTTGAGCTTCCATTTGCCCAACTTCAGCATCAGGAGATTACCATTCAAGACAAATTCCTTCGTCTTGTCTGCCTCCCACGGCCGGATAGGCGTGAAAGACAATTGGTCCGACATGGGACCACTGTCACCAGGACGGCTTCCAACTTTGGCGCCATTGTTGATGATGACTCGGTGGCCCTCGCTCTTGGATGAAACAAGGCCGG